CTCACAACCCCCCACAAAGCTTTGTCGACCCTATGGGTCGTGACCGCAGCAAACACTTCTGGCAGTCTAAACTAATGAATAGAGTTGGAACCTATTGTGATTTTGTTTTCTGTAATTTTGTGTTGTCGTATCATTATTGCTACAGTTATGCTCAGGAGGTCTTAATGGAGTCGACAGTTAATGACTTCCTCTTATGATAGGTTTTGTTTTAGTGTTTTCTCCCTCCTGCTTCACAGCACCCTAATTCTGTTAAGTGCTGTGTAATTAGAGCTATTGTAATTGCTCTTAATATTTCCTCAAGTAGGACCTGTAAAGCATGAGGAGATGTTTCTGAGTGCAAGGATAAAAGCCTGCTGGGAAAGAGCCCAGACATGCTCACTTGTCATGGACTTTTAACCCAGCTCTAAAAAAAAAACACACATTTGGGTCATTTCCTGTGTTAACTTCGACTTAAAAACCACAGGCCACAGGATTAACAAGTATCTTTATATTAGTATGTATGATATTCTTTCTTATCACAAGTTCAACTAAATGCAGTTTAGCAAGTAAATAATAAGCAATTCAAGGACAAACGGTACACGATTACATTACAGAGGACACAAACTGAAACACAGGGAGACCACAAAGCCAAAACACAACGGCAAATAAAAAATGAGCACTCAGGAATATAGGGTATAATTGGGGGCAAAAGCTAGTGGAATACAAAACAAATGTCCTAACATGGTTAAAAAAAAAGATAGAGACAGAGAGTGGCTCACCCAGGGAAATCTCGCGGGCGAAGGCCATGCACACCAACATTAGCGGAAGGCCGACGGACACAAATTTGATGACCTTGTCCAGAGGAAGCTCGAGCTCCAGGTGGTTGATCCGGTTTATCCCGGAGCCATCCTGCAGCAGGGCATCAGATAGCATGGCCTTGGCCGCCGCCTGGGCGATGGACATTTTGAGCACCTACCCGGTGATAAGAAAAAGGGTTATTTTTTATGACACAGTCAAGAAGGAAAGGAAGATACTGAGTGCTCTCTGTGCTGCAAGTGCAAATCAGACTGTCACTGCCTGCTTTCCTCTATCTTATCTTCTCTGTCATTCTCCACTAAATGTGACTAGATAATAAGAATACGGTAACAAAACAAAACATCTAGAGTAGTGGATTTATTACATTTATTACAATTAGTAGGAAATTCAATGCAGAAATGCAATTCCTCAAAAACATTTGCTTGGCATATGACGAAAGCTATAACCAGCTTACCTTAAGTGTTCCAGCTTTTTTCGGTGATACTATTAGAAAATATATTTGCAGAGCCAAAGAGTTCCTCTAAAGGCCTGCACATCGTTGGAAAGCTCTTTAAGTATTCAGGGAGGGCCTCTGCAAATGAGAGGGTGGATCTGGGCTGGACCAAGCCAAGCCGGGTCTGGCTCTAATTACAGGGAGGACATCCGGGAGAATGTAGGTGCCCAGATGGCACTGACTGCAGCAGACCTCCGGTACCCAACGCCATGCAGTTGTGTGTGTGTGTGTATATATATATATATGGGTGTGTTTATCTGGTCTGTCCTCACTCTGAGGCACGGTGGCTGTGGCCCACTTCAAACAAGTGAACCATCGCCAGTGGCTTTTTCAGCCTCTGTCATTCTGAGACTATTTTTACTGCACTTCAGCCTCAGAACTACTGCTAGCTGAGGTATACTGTACCATGCAACAGGAATGACCATGTTTCTGACCTTTGCAGTACATGTGTTTGAGAGAAAAACAGTGTGTTTTTATTGAGTGAATCTGACATACAGGAATTCTTTGGATGGTGAGAACTCCAATCTAAATCTGAAAACATGCAGAACACAAATGAAACAAATGATTATGGTATTATATTTATCTGTGTAAAGTTTGTGCTTATAAATCAAGGAGAGCCACATTATGTCATCAGATTTGTCTAGCAGATTCACTGTTACAGACGCACTGTAAACCCACAACAAAAAAAACAAAAACAAAACATAAATTAATCTACCAAAAAATTTGAGTTACTCAATCTCATGAATTAATCCCAACTCAAAAATGAATTGTTGAAGGAACTCAGTTGTTTTGAGTACACTTAAAATGTGCAGTATTTTATGTATTGGTGATATAACTCCAGCTTGTTCCATTGACTTGTTTTCTTTAAGTTGACTATATGTCATTGCAAAAATGTAATCCCCAAAGCCCCACTGATAATTGATTAATTTTAAATTGTTTTTTTTATTTTGCATCAGCTGCTTTGACAGGTAATGTAATAAATAACTAGTTTAACCTAATTCAGCTAAATTATGTTAACACACTTGAAATAAGTTTGGACAAGTGCTGCATATGAGTGTAATATACTTACTAGTTTTAAGTACAATAAACTTAATTTACCTTACCTTAACAAGAAATGAGTTGCTTGTACTCAAATCAAATATTTTTTCATACTATTGGAGTTAATAAGTCTTTAAAGAAATTGGTTTCTTCAGTTGTTAAACTAACTCATCAGAGTTTACAGTGTGGTTTGTAGAATGGGGTCTCTAAAACAGTTTTCACCAGGAAAAGAACATCATTGCTCATCTGTTAAAATACTTAAAGGTGAGGTTCACATTTTTTCTTAATCTTTTAGAAAACAGTAGTCACAGGTTCTCAAACAGCTTTTAATTGCTGTTATAATTCCTCCTGTAAAACCTGATGAGTTAGTTCAACTCAAACCAATTACCTTAAACTGTAAGTTTATTAACTCAAACAATTCAAGCATGGAAAAATATAATTGTTACTGCTGTAATTAAATTAAAAATAGCCTACTTGTTTTTTATATGTATAACTTTGTATACTTTGGGGGACCATTAAGAATTATTTAGAAGCATATGATGATTTATAAACTAAAATAAAACAAAAATTGATCCTATATTCCTACACTATACAGCATTATAGCACCATGGTCAGTGGGGCTTACATTTTTGTAATGATCTTACATCTTAAAGAAGTTAGTCAATGGAAGAAACTAGGATTATATCACCGTTACTCAAAATACTGCAGAGTGTGTCTGCAGTTATTAATTCAACTATTCATTTTTGAGTTAGGTTTAATTTATGGGATTGACTGACTGAACATTTTTTGGAATATTCAGTTTTATGTTAAATAACTTATTTTAAAGATATGTTGTTAGGTTTTACAGTGTTGTGAAGCCATCCCTTTCTAACCTGATTCAAATGTACTGTACGTGATGAGGGACAAAATCCAGGGCCATAGTTGTGTGTAAAAAGTGATTTTAAAGTTCAGCTGATGCTAATATGAGGCGTGAGTATATTCACAAGTTGCATTCTTCTTCAGTGCAAAATTCACTCTTTGTGATGTTGTGATATTGCTTTTTTGCTGAAATGAAAGAGGAATAGAAACACAAAGGGACATACTAAAAACACTTTGGAACCCAGACTGGTGAAGCCTCAACTCATTCAATTTAAATTTGACCGCAATATTTTCCTAAACTTAATCAAATATCGTTTTTTGGACATGAACATGACCACTCACTAACCTTAATCACAGAGTTTAAGCTGCAGTAAAAAAAATATTATTGGCCACAACAATACTGATATGTTGTCACCTTTTAAATTAATATGATGTGTTAGCAAACAGTTGCTTATTTACACTTCAGGCTGAGGTGCAGCAACGTTAGCATTCATTTGGAGGCATGTTTGGTCCAGCTGATAAATTCTCACGCCAAAATTCCACCAGACACGGCTTTATAACAGTTTGGCCCCATTGTCTGTGTGTCTTAAGAGTGTCTTGCCTACCCAACGTTGTTGATTCGTGTAATTTGTCCTTTAGCTAATAGGTCATAACCTTCTCACATCCACTCCCAAAACACTTAATTAAATGTCTGTCTTTCTTAAATTCCCAGCCTTGTTCTGTTTTTGTGTTGTCCTTACGAAAAAAGGATCTGTGGTGTCATAAAAAACGGTGTGTTTCTCCACTTCCAAGATGTTGTCCATGGTGTCAAATATCCTCTGACCTGCCTCTGAATGATTAACTTCTGGCCTGGTGTAATAGGTTATGACATAATGTTGCTGTAGCGTAAAATTTGATAATATAACCACATTCTCTGTGGCATTTTTGTGCCTGACTTCCTGCCAATGTGTTCTTCTTTGTGCACAGCATGCTGCTTGAGGGTGGGTCGCTGCATATTCTCTGCAGAGTGGAGCTTATGGTAGAATCACTAGCATTATCTAGAACGGGTGCAATCAGCTCCAGCGGCTGCTGTGCTGCCAGAATGCAGAATGTTTCTCCATAATATTCACTCTCCTTTAAGCTCTGTTTTTGGTCTCTACCAACTCAAAAACAGTTGCCTGCTGAGGCTGGAAATTTGATGTTGATGAGAGCAGTAAGAGTGAACCAAAGCAGTACAGTTTCAGACCATAAAACCAAAATAATGAGCTGAAAGATGGTAAAATGCTCTGTAAAGCTGAGCGTCTGCACAGTCAGGTGATATTTCTGTTTGTCATTAGAGCGACTCCTTTCACATACAAGTAATTTCCTCGTTGCCTTATTCCCTTGTTAATTAAAAAAAACTGTATTGATTATTGTGGCGTTATTCAGAGAGCAGGATCAGAAAACACTGGTATTGTTTTTGTAACAGGGTTGGTGGGAAATGGAAAACAACCTATTTTGTTGTTTAGGTGCAAGCATTCTTGTGTAAGTCCAGTTTGGGTGATTGATTGATTTGAAGGCTTATCCAACACCTGAGCGATGGTGTTAAAACCTATAACCCATCTTTTACATTTTTGTCTTTTTCTTTTACAGTTGATCTTGGCTTATTGGCTGCGCATTTTCGACTTGTCCGTAGCAGGAAACAATGGCAGCTTGCCTACAGCTACACCAGTATACTAAAATATGTTTCTGAAATGATTTAAAGTGAAAAATAGTCAACACAGTAACAGAATCTTGATTGATATCTGATCAGCACTGCCTAGTTTGACAGTTTGATCTGAGTTTGGTGCGTTGAGCTGGACGGACTCACTGAGAATGAACTGTCAATCACAAGGTAGCAGACCCTGCTTTATGGTCTATTTTACTCTAAATGGGACCAGCATTTACTTAATGAACATCATGCTGTATGGAAGAAGACTGAAACTAGCTTCACTTCACACACCTGGAATCTCTGTCCACTAATTGCATACTGTCAGTGGTTTTCACACAGTCAGTCTGCAGTTTACAGTATTCATGGTAAAAAATTCATAGTAAAGTTTTAAAACAATGTATCCTCGGTTTCAAACAGTTGAAGACAAAAGCAGCTCCTCATTTCTTGCTGCCGACCACTGCCGAACTGTTGCTGCTGGATTTCATCAGCAGCTTGCGAGCGAGTTAGTTCCATGAGTTGGTTGAAAATATTTCCAGCTGACTCATTTTAGAGAATATTGTAAAGGTGGCCTTCAAGGAGTCCTTACCTGGCCATTCAGTTACAGTATGCATGTGTTTTAAAATATATTTCTATCCTAATGTAGACCTCTTTATGCATTCCCTCTGCACTGGAATATATAAATTGTGGTCCATTTCAAAAACACCCTAATACAAGACTTAAATATGCCATTTATTTATTTGATCTTCTGACCATTCAGCATCCAGGATTACTCTTTTCATCACAGTGTGACTGTGACTGTGGGAGCATCCACACCTGCCAGGATACATTACCTGGCAGGTCTGGATGCTCCCACATTTGATTTTCTTCACATTTTAATCCAATGAAGCAGATTAAATCAGCCTTCCTTAGGCAGGGATGCGTTGTGGTTGTGATTCTTCTTGGTCTGTGTGAAACCTATGCCAGTGTGAATCCAAAGTGTGAAGCAGTGTGACACAGAGTGGAAACTTTAATAGTGGATTAAAATGGTAATTGTAAATGTAATATTATTGTTAAGACCTACTTGCTATTGCTGTTGTTCTGCAGTTCTTTGCTCAATAGGTAAGAAAGTGGCAGTACCTTGGTGTGATACTTTATAACATTAATTTTGTTCAGTTGTGTATCTTTGCATTTTGTTGTGTTGCATTTCGCTAGCCATCACTTCCTTCCTATTTAAGCTGACATGGCAGGTTGTGTTCAGTGGCAGCAGCAGCAATCTACGGTGGCTGACAAGGGCGAATGCGCTGCAAACGACAAAACGCTGCAAACAGGAATGATACAAAACCAAAAACCCACAAACACATAAAAACAAATGCAACAGAAAAACGCAGC